ACTTATGATGTATTGAGTATTTCTAACATTTATAATTTTAAATTCAATTTTCTAGATTTATGACGTTTTGATATTAATGGAAGCAAGTGTCATACCTGAGTAGTTGGGTTGCTCCCTGTGTCCGAGAGTTTGTGTTCAAGTCATCTACCCTCTCCCTCACCCTCCCCTCTAATCACTAACTCTTAAAATTCTTGCCATGAAAAAAATAAAAAATTTAAAGAATATTATGTATATTTTGTGACAAATATGATGTATTACTAAACACAGTTATTGTTTTATGTTTTCAAATTTGTGGCAACAACGAGTGTCAATAAATATTATTTTTATTTTCTATTTTCACTCAAGAAAGCAAAATCATGTTTCTACTTTCTTAAAACTGCAAAAATAGAAAACGAAAACATTACTAAACGCACCCTAAAATTTTTGTTCTGCTTTATTTTTTTGTTTATGATTAACCCGGGGTGTCTGGGAAGGCATAAATTCTTAGGCCTCCTCAACAACTCGACTAATCCCTGAGGTTCTGGAAGAGTGTCTCCCTACCTGGGTCGGGTAAGGCACTTCCGGGGCAACGTAGATTAACCATCAATGTAGCGACCCGAGTTTTTCAACCCGGTTTGTTAGTGATGAACCGAAAATTGACCCGATAACGAGTCTGAAATGCGGAAGCAAAAGATAACTCAAAGTCTTTAGAGATATAAAGCATCTCTAAGACACCAATGTGACCTTCCATGAAGTCACGAAGCTCAATGAGAACGAATGCGGAAACAAAGGATCAAAACGGACAAAAACCATAACCAAAGGGCAAAATGGTCAACTCACCATTAAAAGGAGAAACTTGACTCTAAACAAGTTAAATAAGGTGGAAAAAACCTAATCTAATCATTTCAAGACTTTCCAAGAGGTTCTAAGAACATTGGACAAGAATCTCACAAAACGCCCTTTCCTGGTTTAAGCGAAAATCGACACACTCTCACTAAAACTTGAATAACTCCCACTGTGATTGGAATCTAAGAATCTCATTGGTACCATTGGAAATCTGACTCAAAATCCATGAATTTAGGCTCAAGAATCACCCCATTTGGATTTAAAATGAAGGAGTTATGGTCATTTGAAGTCGGAAGAACAGTGCTAAAACTGGACTAAAACTACTCTCGGGATCTAGCCATTTCGGACCCTTCGGACGACCGAAATGGACAAAATTTCAGCTAAAAACAAGTCTTTAAGGCTTGGTTGGTTTGATACACCAAAAGGAACCATCGGTCGACCGAAATGAGCCATCAGTCGATCGAAATGACCCTAAACGCTGACTTTGGCTACTGGAAAGTGAAGTTTCAAGGTTCAAACAAAACCCAAAAGGCTTCGGTCGACCGAAATGCCATTTCAGTCGACCGAAATGACTCAAGAAAGTGCAAAAATTTCAAGTTATGCACTCAAGGCTGAAAGTTTACTTGGAACCGAAATGACTCAAGAAAGTGCAAAAATTTCAAGTTATGCACTCAAGGCTGAAAGTTTACTTGGAATCCCCCATGGCATGTTCAATTCACATAATACGCTAGTGTGTGATAATGTGAACATGCACGCAAGTGTAATATGGATATTTAAACATGCTACAATGGCCCATGGCCTTATTACACTCCATTTACAAAATTTTCCATGCCAAACCTTAAAGTTGGAAAAGTTTACATTTTAAGAACAAAACTTGCAATTTAAACACATACACTTGGATCTTTAAGGTTGGTGACCCTTGGCCACAAATCATACATATCATTTAGGTTCCAAACAACTAACTTAAGTATACTTTACATACAATGAGACAAAAATAGCATATTGAACCTATCTAGGTGCTACAACATCAAAAGAGAAACTTGAACATGCTAACACTTACATGTAAACAAGAACGCTTTGAAAGAAACTTCAAATCTCCAAACCATCAAAGATAAGTACTAATCTCCATATCTTGAATCCTGTACCTGAAATATGCCCCAGTAACGTAGGGGTGAGCAACATAAAGCTACTCGTAGGAAATGAGCATGCATCGACCTACGTTTTACAAGTTTGCATGATTTAATCATTGTGGTTCATTCCACCTAACGTTTATGTCAAAGGTGAGACCCAGGGAGCATCCTAGCTACCTAAAATCATTTTAGCACAAAACACATCCTTTATGCAATTTCAACAACCCAAGAGCATGCTACACATAGCAACACGATAAAACATGCTTACACAAAGGAACAAGATAGAAACATGCTTACACAAAGCAACAATATAAGAACATGCTTACACCAAACATCAATATAGGAACATGCTTACACAAAATAACAAGGTATAGATTTTCCAAGTAATCAACTTAAAATCTAAAATGCGAAATCAACTAAATATAACAATTTAGTATAATTAGAATATCTAATACCACACATTAAGACATAGATTCTCTAGACTATCAACTAGAAATCTAAAAGTGTGAGATCAACTAAATATAACAATTTAGTATAGTTAGAATATCTAATACCACACATCATGACATAGATTCTCTAGATTATCAACTAGAAATCTAAAAGTGTGAAAACAAATAGTGGAAGATTTGGACATCACGTCTTAGATTTCCGCTGAGAACAAAATGGTTATTCCGGGTATCAACCCGCTGGGAAGACCACCCTAGTGCGCACTATCTCAATTGGGGAGAACTCATACCTCCCGCACTAAAGCCGAACTTTAGCCATGTCACATGTAACAATGTCCCAAGAGATTCCAAAATATACATCAAGTTCAAAACTGATATATATATAATAAGCCATACAAACCACATTCCATGCACAAGTAGGTTGAAACCACACAATCCATGTCTTAGGATTCAAATTCTAAAACGACATACATAATGTCAACACGAAGTGTACAATTCATTACACAAGTCAATCATATATCTAATATTGGAAACAAGTTCTCATGAATATAATTTTAACAACAAGGTACTCAATGCTTAAAACATAATCAAGTGAATACACCACAAGTCTAAATCCACGATCTTAAAATAGTAGCAACTTCTAAAACATGATTAAATTCATGGAACAATAAGATATAGTTTAATTAAATAAAAATTAATTAAACCCTCTAGATTTTCATACTCAACCAAATGCTCTCAAATTAAAGTATGTTAACCAACATGTCAAAACTTAATTTAAAAGCATAATACAACTCAATTTCATGCAAGGTATGGCCATGAACTTTAATCTTTCACAAAAGATAAATATTAATTAAAAAGTGCAATCCTTATTTAATTAATCCCAATTTAATATATGTTAACCAATATATTAAAACTAAACTTTCTAGCATGCCACAATCCAAATCAAAGTTACACATCATCATGAATTTTAAATATTATACAAAGAAATAAAAATTACTAACTTTCTAGATTTGATACAAGGCAAACATATAGGTTGTATAATCATGGGAAACACATAATACAACACACAAATAATCCTAAAACATTCCTTACCTCCATTTGAGATGAAATCTCAAATCCCCACCAAAATGGAAGTGCTCCGAATCCGACGAAACTTTTAGGTTTTGTCGGGGACAACACCACGAACAAGAATCTGAAGAAAGCCCCATCAAAAACACATCTTAACCTCAAACCCAAACTCAAGAAATGGCCAAAACTGAGTTCTAATAAGGGGGAAAGGTAGAGCACGGTGAGGGGAACAATAAACACAAAGGTACTATACCTTTTCAACCAAGGGAAGTGACCGGAAAAGAAGAGAGAAGCATGGAAGCCATGGCTGCCATGAGATTCGGCCAAGAGAGAAGAGAGAGAGAGAAAAATATGATATTTTCTCTTAAGTGCTCCTATTTATAGAAAATCTCAAAAAGTGCCCCGCCGGGTCCGGAAAAGTGAAATTCGAGCAGACGCGCTCAAACAGAAAAATTCCATGAACGAAAAAGATTCAAAATGAGAAAAGATGAATAACGGAAGAAACGGCGTCAAAAACTGAGTCCCGAGCAAAAAGTTATGCCCCAAACAAATTTGGCGCAAACTGGGGCCAGAAACCCTGAAACTGGAAAATATAGACCAGGAGGAAATTTTAAGAGCACATGACTCAATGAAAAGTAAAAATGAATCCCGTACGAGGATCCAGGCTCAAAACAAGACATTGAGTAATAACTTTCATTAATTGCACAATGGCCCTCCAAAAAATGAAAACTGCGAAACTGCCCCAGAATGAACATATCTTCCAAAAAGATATTTTCTTATAAACCCCTAAAATAAATATCTTCAAAAGATATTTATGAAAAATACCCCAAGAAAAGAAAAAGTTCTCAAAGAACTTTGCATCCATGCCCCTATGGACACCGGGAGCAACCAGAGTACTTTTTTGCAAAAGTAAAGATACGTATTTCATGGAAACTACTGAAAATGAAGGTATGTGAAGTCAAAAACCAACTCCGAACACAAGAAGTGTGGTTACGTCAACAAAGTGACAAACGGGAAAAAGACAAAATAGGAAAAAAGACGAAATTGGGAAAAGGACGAAAAGTAAATAGTGTCGAAAAACGAAAAATGTGGAAATGACTCGATCCTCAAAGAAAGTTGTCATTTCAAAGAAAAGAGTTTCGGAAGTCATTCCAGAGCACTCGAGACGACACTAATCGACAAGAAATCAACTCAAAAGGGAAAGAACAACGGAAAAAAATATATCCGAAAATCCGGGTCATTACAATCAAGAACACCCAATGGGAACTTGAACCCCAAACCTAGGACTTATGAAATACCTAAGTCCAGCGAGAAACTCGCCAGACCATATCCGAAGTGGATTCGTTAATTTTTGTTATTAATCTAAAATCTCTATCATTTAAAATTATTATTTATATATTTTATATGAGTAATTCGAAAAAATAAAATAAAACCACAATTAGGTGTGTAGACTTTGTAAGGCGGGACCCAGGGTGTCACAGTTACACCACCTACTACTACCACTACTATATCTGCTGTAAGCGTGACACGTCAGTCGAAGTGAGTCCGGCGGCTTCGTCAAAATGCCTTCCTCAACTGTGCTATATTTCTGAATATTCCGAAGCCTTCTCCACCTTCCACCGCTAAACCCCCCTCTCCTTTTCGTTTCTCACACCTAAACTAATATTCCATTTCTATATCCACACACACAAACACACCCATATATAAATATATATATTTGTATCTATTTGCTCGCTTTTGTTCTTCTTCTAGTCTATTTCTCTCTCTTCGAAACCCTAATCTTGCTCGCTCTCTCCATGACTTCATTATTTGGATTTCAAATTGCGAGTGAAGTTGAAGATTAGGGCTCTGCTTATAACCACGCTTTAATGGACGTCGACCGTTGAATTTTCAAAGAGATGTCTGTTGCTGAGCTGAAAGAGCGGCACATGGCTGCTACGGAGACTGTCAATGCTCTCAGGGAACGCCTCAAGCAGAAGCGTCAATTTCTTCTTGACACCGATGGTTGGTTTACTTTTCTTTTACCTCATACTTTTCCTTTTTCTCTTCTTTTGGTTGATTTCATGCGTTGGTTTTCTTAGATCTTTTGATTTTGCAATAAATTTGCAGTGGCGGAGTATGCGAGATCGCAAGGGAAGGCCCCTGTTAGCTTTGGTGCCACGGATCTGGTTTGTTGTAGGACGTTGCAGGGACACACCGGGAAGGTAGGATTTAATTTTTTTATTTTTTATTTGATATCAAATTATCTATATATGTGTGTATTATAGTTGATTGCATTCTGGATTTTGGGCTTGTTTAGTTATTTTAGTTTTCTCTTTGATGCAAAATTGAGTGGTGATGGAAAATTTTGTATCTGTGTTTTTTTTGTTATTTTCTTATCTGAAATAATGATTTTTCTGGGTTGAAGATTCTGTGGAGGGGCATGAGTGTCATATTATTAGCTGATTAACATGATTTTAGGTGATTTGTTGCTATTGATTTGTAAAGGGGCAAAGGTAAACTTCCAGTTTGATAACATCCTAAAAAATGGAATTTGTAGCCCACTTGGGACTTATGCTATTTTCAGTTTTGTCATTTTGGATGCAGTAAGATAAACCAATATGTTTAGCTATTAAAGGAAGGATAAACAATGGATGTCTAATTGCGGAACTCCTGGTTTCTTGACTTCTTTTGGAGCATCTTGAAAGCTCTAGTGCCTTCTGAAGCTAGTAGCCTAAATGATTAATTGTACTTATCAGTTTAATTCTTATATCAACTTTCTGTGCTATATATGAATAAAATTATGTCATTTTCTTTTGAAGCATCTATAAAATTATATTTTAATTTGTAACATTTTAATGCTAGGGTGATTTTTTTTTTTTTTTTATACTTGCAGGACATCTAGTTATGTTTTCTTAACATGTACATGAATGCAGGTTATTTAATGATCTAAGGACTTGACCTCTCATTTTGGAAAGCTAGGTTCAATTATTATTATTTTTATAAGTGAATTCTAGGTTCATTAAATCATTTTAGAAGTTTATGTAGTGATTGGCAGAGCTTGCTAACACTAAAAGTCTTTCAGCGGAAATCATTTTACAACAAGGACTTTGGTAGAGGAAATTTAAGATTGAAAAGGTGTTTGTTTAACGGTATGAGTAGAAATCCTTCCAAGTCAAGAAGTCATTTAATCATATTCAATTGCATTTGGAACTATCGGAAGTCCTTTCAAACTAGAACGTCTTCCAATTTATAATATTACTTTTGACTTTAAGCATATATGCACGTTCGCATGCATGTGCATATTTATTAATATAGTGAGACAAAAACCATTCTTTTGGAAATGAGAAACAATGATCAGGCATAAAAAAGAAAGTAAGAAAGTGAAGAGAGAACAAGAGGACAGGAGGAAGTGTGGAATTTTGAGTTGAATTCACAGCTCGTGCTCAGGCATGGACTTACTGTGGGCTCAGTGGGGGCAATTGCCCCCACTGAAATTTTTTCTTTTGCTATTTTACCTTACTAATTTTGCTTTTTTGAATTATCTACGTACAAAAATTTGAATTTGCCCCCACTGAAATTAGAAAAAAACTTCATTATTGCCCCTCACAAAAATTTTCGCTAAAAGCCGCCCCCTCTCACATACTTTTCTGGGTCTGTCCCTGCTCGTGCTATGTAATTAATGTGTTTGAAGTAGATGGTTTGTTATTAAAATTTAGAATGGCGGGCAAGCATAGATATGATACTTTCTAGTTTGATTCTCAACCTATTAGGTTAAATGCGCGCGCGCACACACACTAATGCATTCGATCTCCTCTTCGTGTAAAGCAATTCAATATTGACTTTGAGAAGTCAAGGATCGTAATCTAGGCTCTGATATTGAATAAGCACAAGGTCTGTAATATAGGGTTAGAGGGGGTTGAATAAGTCTTGCTATTTGTTTTAACTGACTTTAACTACTTTTTAAATTTTAATCAAATTGCCAATAATTTGAAGCATAAATTAAAACGATGTTAATGAAATCACTTAATCCATCAAGCTATATTCACAACATTCAATCATAGATAAAATAAAAGCAATAACATGCATGCACAATAGTCACAGAGATTTTTACGTTGATTATGGGAGTCATGGGACGTGGTCCAGACCGATCAATCCTCTATAAGAAAGAGATATTTTACTAGTTTAACAGTTTAACCCTAGAAATCCTAGTTCCTGATGACAGTACAGACTGATCCACCAAAATCACATGTTGGGTCTTCAGGCGCACAATCTGCTTCATCAACAGATTCCGCTACTCACATAATCTGCTTCTTCTCTAGCACTTTTATCTTCTGGTCTAGTTGTCCACAAGAATATCCAATGGATAAGTACATTTTGCTGAAGTCCAATCGGGCACAGCAGCAGTACTAACCAATTTAGTATGCAGAATGAAAACAAAAAAGTTATATGCACTTTCTTAGTAGATTGCTCTCTAATTGTGTCTAGGTTTTCTGAAATCAATGAATAGTAACTATATAAAATATGAAGTGGTAAAAGGATTAGGGTTTTAAAGTTTTAATTTGAAAAGGAAACTTCGTTTTCGGATGGGTAGGTCAATTGATCGAATTGACATGTCGATCAACCAAAATGTGTCTAGCCACCTTCCATTGATCCCTCAATCGATCAAAGTCTTTTCTTGTTTTTCAAATAGGATTTTGATCAAGCCAATTTGTCAAATACACTTTTATGTAATCAAAAAGGATTTTAATAAATCAAATCATAAAATCTACGAATTCCTGATTGATAAATGCATGAACCCTTTTTGGTGAGTGCATATTGGCGTGTCAAGTAAATTACATTTTTATGTTGGCCTTAAAAATTACTATTCTGCCCTTGGTTGTAACTTCAATTTGACAAGACATATAACTTTCATATACTAAAACAAAAATAAAAGTACATACTACCTTTGGACACGATATGCCATCCAAAGTCCTATTGGCCTACAAGAGTTGAAGAACTAGGGGTGTACAGTGATGCCCATAGAAGGGATGGGTACAATGAGATTTAAACCATGCAGTTTCTTAGCGACCCACATTTGCTCACCGTGCTCATAAAAGCTGGTGGGCCCTATATGGTTTAAATATTTCCACCACATTATAATTCGGTGTTAATAATTACACTCATTTCATGAACTGTGTACGGAAATAATTAGACCCTTAATTGGTGAGTATCACATCATTTTGGATTCAGTTGCCAAGGAGAAGCGATAGAGGCTCAATCGGAGGGGGAGAGAGAGAAGACGAAGTGCAGACTTAGTTGTGGTGCTTAATGAATTTGCAGTTTTTCATAATTCTAGTTGTTAGCCTCATTGAGATCCTCCTTGAATAGAAGTGTTTGTATGGTCTTGGACCTTGAATAGAAGTGTAAGATCACTCAATAATCTTTGTGAGGCACAGGATTGGGAGCTGGATGACCTTTTTGACCTCTTGGCTTTGTTGTATCACCAAGAGGAGGTTGTGGGTGAGGCTGACTTCTTTGTATGGAGCCCTTCTTCTCAGGGGAGGTTCGATGCTCGCTCCTTTGGGAAGCTTTCAGATGATTCGACGATAGCTTTCCCTTGGACTTGGAAGGCAGTGTGGCGCACCAAGGCTCCCTTAAAGGTGGCTTTCCTTTCTTGTATGACAGTTCGGGGGAAGATTTTGACCCGCTACAATTTGAGAAGGAGGAGACAGATTGTTGTCAACTGGTGTTGTATGTGCAAGAGGGATGAATAGACCATTGATCATCTTTTGCTTCATTGTTTGGTTGCTAGGGATAGTTGGGGTTTGATTTTGTCTTTGTTTGGGGTCCACTGGGTTATGCCTCGGACTTCAATAGGCTTGATTGAGGCTTGGAGAGGTTGTAAAGTGGGTTCCCAAGCTGGCCAAGCCCTCGTCCTCGTGTCTTTGGCGGGGCTTATGGAGAGAATGAAGTAGGAAATCCTTTGACGGTGAGGAGACCTCTATTGGGGTGCTGAAAATTTATATTTTTAGCTCTCTTTTTTGTTGGGTTTCCGGGAGGAATTGTAAATCCTTGGGCGAGACTGTTGATTTTTTGGACATATTGAGAGATTAGGGGCCCTATTTGGCTCCACTTCTGTTTCGTGGGCCGCATTCCCCGGTTGAACGTTTTTTTTGACAATCTTACTTGTAAAAAGAAAAAAAAAGATCACTCAATAAATCATAGAGATCCCTAATTACATTCTTCCTTTTATCTGCTTTTTTTTTTAAAAAAAAATAAAAAATAAAAAATAAAAAAGCAAAAATTTATTTGTAGCACCCATGGTAATTGCAGTGTTCTTAACAATTTGAAATCTAAAAATCTTTGCCGGCCTTGGGACCACATCCTGCGTATTCCCCAGCCATGGATCAACCATCATCAGCCCTAACCTTTGGCACACTTCCTCCACACCCTAACCTTATGCACATCATATGCCTCTCAAGTGTATGGCAAACTTATGTCTTCCTTCCGTTGGCTTCAATGCATCCTCTTATCAGCAACCCAAAAACAACAGTCAGATGTCTTCTTGTTTTAGCAGCAAAGCTTGAATTACTTTCGCTAGCACTGCCACAATCTGGTACAATCACTGACTTGTCCATTGCCCTTTGCAAATGCTCCGATGATCATCCGAATGGCCTCAATCATTCATTCATTCTTCCTCCTTTCTCTCGGCGATGGAGTCTTCAACAGCTAATAACGAGAGAGAGAAGAAAAAACTTGTAATAAGATGAAAATCCAAGGGTAGTATGGACAATATAAAAAGTATAGACCAAGTGGTGATTCTCTTGTTTACCACTTAAACTGCTTTCCAACTTCGCGACGAGTGGATTCTCATTCAAAAAGCAACTTTTATTTACTTCTGTCTAATGGGATTTTGAGACTTAGTTGATCCTTTGATTAATATCAGAATCAAAGACCTTTCTTTGGTGAGTTCGATCCTGGCTCAGGATGAACGCTGGTGGCATGGTTAACACATGCAAGTCGGACGGGAATCTTTCACAATCCCTGGAGAGATGGTTCACTAATAGACCGAGGGATAGAATAGTTCTATATCCCCTTTTTCTTTCTTAACCGTGTCTATAGGACCCATTTTACTGACAGGACCCGTCAAGTTGGGATCCAATTCAAGATTTTCCTTGGGAGGTAGCGGAAAGTCCTGGCTTAGACTTATTTTAGAAGTCCACTTCACGACTTCCACCAAACATCAACTTTTGTTTAGGAATCACTTTTTGGACATATAGAGGTTTCAGTTCTATGTTGATCTATTCTATTAAATCTGTAGAGTCAGACCACTGCTGGAATTTTGGTGTTGATACTGTTTTGTTAAGCTGCATTTGGAGTTTGCTGCTGATTAATAACTCTTATGGAGTTTATTTTCCTATGTTGAATGCTAAATGCCTTAACTGGGCGGATTCTCTGCTTAACATTGCCTTTTTGTGTTTTGTTCTCTGCTATTATTGTGAGATAGCTCACCTGCCTTGCTATGGTACCAGATGCATCAGTGCTCAGAGGGACTTCTATGGTTCTCAGTACTGGTGGTTTATATTTTTGTATTTTTGGTAACACTTTTGACACGAACTGGTTTAGCTCTTGGAGGATTCAGTTTCATTTTTGATATGGAGTTGCATGTTTTTTGGGCTCCTTTTTGGTTTCTGTTTCATCCGCCTTGCTATGGTATCAAATGCATCACGGGGCAGAGGGACTTCTACAGCTCTCAGTACTGTTTTTTATATTTTTGTATTTTTAATAATGCTTTTGACATGAACTGGTTTAGCTCATGGAGGATTAGTTTCAGTTTTGATCTGGAGTTCCGTGTTTTTTGGGCTCCTTTTTGGTTTCTGTTTTTCTGGTGGTGCTGGGGCTTCCATGAGGTGTTGTATCTGAGGTGGGTATGCCTTTAACTGTTCTGGCTTTGCCTTTGTTTGCAATATAAAATCTCACTTACCTATCAAGGAAAAAAAAAGGGAGAAAAAAGGAAGAAGAAAGAAAAATGTTGAAATTGAACGAGTAAAACTCCTTTTTTATACTCTCCTAACTTGTATCAGGCTTCAGCTTCTCATTGTTTTCATTTCTAGTTAAACTTTATGTTACTTTATATGGATTGCTTAATTTAAGATAGAATTTATGTTACCTGGACTTGGGTATGTGTGTCGGATGCAAGTATATATCCACGCGTCAAACATATCAAATTTCAAAAGAATCAAAACAGCAGAACACTGCTAAATATCCATATTATTTGTATTTATATTCTATTTTATTACTAAAATAATATTTGACGTTGCGTGGTGTTTAATATAGACATTTTGCTCATTTTGAAGCGTCATTATTGAATTGTTGGATTTGCTTTTTTGGTGCATGTCCACCAAAAGTGTTGGACACATATTCCGTACCCATGTCCAAGTGTTATGTGTCCAAACATTGTACTTCACGTACTTTTGAACAGTCCATGTAACATAGGATAGGATAATATGAGGGAGTTTGTATTACACTTTTGAGATTTGATTCTTATGTGGAGTGTAAAATTTAGTGTGCAGTTCAATGCATCTTTGTATTTGAATGCCTTTATTGCATTTTGTTTGGCATTTGAAGTGAATATCATCGTCATATAAAATGAAGTGAATATCATCGTCATATAAAATGAAGTGATGAAAGAAAATAGGCTCATGGTCATTTTATTTTAAATGACCAAATTCCAAAATAATGACTTTGAGTTTGAGAGAATTAATGGGACCATCAATTTTAAGTTATTTCTAAACATGTCCTTAGAGTGTCATTATTTCGCTTGGTTTGCTCCTTTGAGAGAAGCACCTCCTCTTATTGAGGAATACCTGAATCAATATCTAGATGTGATAAGGCATTATTTTGGCATTGTTTCATTTCTTTGTCAGGTTGTTTATTGGTTTTTCTATATATACTTTTTTATTTTTGGAAAAAATATAAATTTGTATATATTAAATGAGAAGTGTGTTATGTGGATGCAAGTGATGTTGGTGAATAATTTCAGTGGCCTAAAGTTGACTACAATGGCACAATTAAAGCGAAAGATATGTGGAAATATGATGTTGAGTGACCTTTAAAGTGTGGAAGTAAATAACAACAGAAAGCCATAACTCTAGTCTCTACACAACATTGATCCTTCACCTTCATATCGTAGAAAAATCTTATTGTAGCTTCTTTCTATGTAGCCTTCTGAAGTGGAAATAAAGAAACACTTGAAAGTCTTTGCGTTCCTTTGGAGGCCATGTTTGTTACTTCATGCCCTGGCTGGCAATTTGTGTCGCACATCTCCAACCTGTCACATATCACTGATAGAGTATGTATATACTAGCAGTGAAAATAGATAGAGATCTTTGTCGGCAATATGCGGAACTGTTCAGGTGGCACTATGATTTTGATTGAGCAAAAAACAACAGGGAAAGCTCGAGATGATGTTAATAACATGCCAAGTTATGTCTCATCTACAAATTATATTTTATTATTTCATTTAATCAATTTTCATTTGGCTCATTAGTTATGATTTATCAACGTGCCATTTTACTTGTGACATTTGTCTCAGTAGTTATGATTTATCATCATGCCATTTCACTTATGACTGTTTAATGTTGAACTTGTGCTTATATGATGATATGACTGTTTAATGTTGAACTTGTGCTTATATGATGATGAATTCATTGAGTAATTATTTTCTATGGATAGTTGTAACGGGTGGGCGCTTGCCCATTAATCCAAAAGCTTAAGCTATTGGGTAATGTTGCATGCATACCCACCCATTTATACACATTCCAATTCCCATCTAGATCCGATGTGAGACAAGTTCCACTTGTAACATTCTCCCCACCCGAACCCGCACAACGCCCTCGTTGCGGTCGGGCCACCTTGCCCACCCGGGGTGAAGACCCGGACGCCCTCCGGGCCGGGCACTTGGCGTGACACCGGATTAAGGATTGAACCTGAGTCTGATACCAATTGTAATGGGTGGGCATTTGCCCATTTACCCAAAAGCTTAAGCTATTGGGTAGTGCTGTATACCCACCCATTTATACACATTCCAATTCCCATCCAGATCCGATGTGGGACAAGTCCCCCTTGTAACAACAGTGTATAAGAAGTTTAATAAAGTTTATCTTTAACTCATTCATCTTAAATTGATTTCAGAATGCAATTGTGTATAAACATCCTGAGAAGTGACATTATAGATGGTGTGGTAAACTAGAATTTTAATCTCTAAAACATTGTCCAGGTTCGTTCACTAGATTGGACTCTTGAAAGGAATCGTATTGTCAGCGCATCTCAAGATGGGAGGTTAATAGTGTGGAATGCGCTCACAAGCCAGAAAACTCATGCCATAAAGTTACCTTGTGCCTGGGTCATGACATGTGCCTTCTCTCCGAATGGCCAGTCTGTTGCCTGTGGTGGCCTTGATAGTGTATGCTCTATCTTCAACCTAAATTCTCCCACAGACAAGGATGGGAATCTACCTGTATCAAGAATGCTTAGTGGGCACAAGGGTTATGTTTCCTCTTGTCAGTATGTTCCAGATGAAGATACTCATCTAATAACTAGTTCAGGTGATCAGACATGTGTTTTGTGGGATATAACTACAGGACTAAGAGCTTCTGTTTTTGGTGGTGAATTTCAATCTGGGCACACTGCTGATGTTCTGAGGTACAATTGGTGATCAAATGTTTTGAGCAAATTTTGGTTTTCTTTCTTTTCTTGATGGAGATGCTTCTACAGTAGGAAGCTTCCGTTCCATGTGATTTAGTTTCAGTCAAAATTTTCTTAAAAAGGATACATGAATTTAATGGTGAATATTAGGATAACTTTGTGTTCAAAATTAATTTTTTTATATATTATGGATTTTATTTATTTTTTATATTTTAATATTATTTTTCTTGAAAAATAGTTTAATCTAGTTGAACGTTTCAGCCTTGTTTTAAGTTTCTTTCTTTTCTTTTTCTTTCTTGTTTGTTGTTCTTTCAGTGTATCGATCAATGGATCAAACTCAAAAATGTTTGTATCTGGTTCTTGCGATGGAACTGCCCGGTTGTGGGACACTCGTGTTGCAAGTCGAGCTGTCAGGACATTTCATGGTCATGAGGGAGATGTTAGTACTGTGAAATTCTTCCCAGATGGGAATAGATTTGGGACTGGTTCAGATGATGGAACTTGCAGGTTATTTGACATTAGGACTGGACACCAGCTCCAGGTGTATTATCAGCAGCATGGTGAAAATGATGTCCCTCACAATGATGTCCCTCATGTGACTTCCATCGCATTTTCTATATCAGGCAGGCTGCTTTTTGCTGGGTACTCAAATGGAGATTGCTATGTGTGGGACACTTTACTGGCAACGGTATATAATTCTTTCATCTTAGTCATTATGCTCATGCATCCACCTTTGCACAAGGTTGCCCATTTACACCACTTATCGTCTCAGTTGTGGCTGAGATTGTTTCAAATACTTATGATCTTTATACTGAATTCTTGAAATATGTTATTTTGCATTTTTCCTGTTAGTTTATTTCTATGTGGTGATTTTATGTGGCATTATTTTATTATTACATATCTTGTGTTGGCGGTGGCTTGGTGCTTGACCTGAATTTCAGTTGAATATACAAGGCCTAGCATATGTCATAAATAAAGGATATTTTGTTCACAGATTTGTGCCGCTTCATATAAAGTGTCAGACCTGATTTAGCTATTACTTCTCTGAAAAAGGGAAAACTGTTTTTACTTTGGTTTCTTTGGTCAAAACTTGGAATTGTAAACCTTGCAAATTCAACTTCATTCTCCCCCTTGTTATTCTTTCCTGATGCATGCGTGTGGTGTGTGTCTATGGTATAGAGATGAATTATTTCTTATTACTTTCTTACATTCCCTTTTGCATTGTAGGTTGTCTTGAACTTGGGTTCTCTCCAAAACTCACATGAGAGTCAGATCAGCTGTTTGGGTTTGTCAGCTGATGGAAGTGCCTTATGCACAGGAAGTTGGGATACAAATCTAAAGGTAAGTTCGTGCCTTTTCTGGTAATATTATTTACCTTCACTGCAAATATTCCTATTTTTTCCTTGGATTGCACAGTATGTGTTGTTAATGTGTTTGGCTTTATGCCATTTGTTCATAGATGAGTTCATGCTGAAGCAAAAGGAAAAAAAAAAAAATAAAGGAAATAAAGTTTTTCTAGTGATTCCAGACATTATAACTTTAAATTGTAGGACCTCTGATTGACATAATTTAAGTAACCATCTGAATTTTATGTTGGATTTGGAAATTTCAATTTATTTATTTAGTATTTCAAACATTAATTGGAATGCTAAACAAATTAATGTAAGGTTTATTATTATGGGAGGTTTGTCGGAACACCAGGTCATAAGGCTTTGAAACTCAAATTGAGAATGCTAGTTGAATAGAATGGAGGTTCATTGTCCTGTGAATGTTAATGAGGTTTTGAGATTCATATTTGAAAATTGAAAAGCAAGTTTGAAAAATAAAAATTTCTAACAGAAATATCATTTCAATTTGATTTGGTAGTAATCTTGTGATCCTTGTTATGCTTAAGAAACATCTTCCTTTATTGATTGTACATAAAGGAATGCAGCGAGTACAATTAATTTTCATTACGGTTCCTTTATTGTTATGCTACTCTTGTTCATTTTTATTTTTATTTTTTTATATTTTTATCCCGATTCTTTTGAAGCATTTGAATTATTATTTTCATGGTAATGTTTAAGTGAAGTTCAGCTCACCCAAAAAAAAAAAAAAAGCCAAAAAAAGCCAAAAAAAAAAAAAAAAAAAAAAAAAAAAAAGAATGTGTTGCATATTCATATTTTAATTATTGCGTCTTATATTTATTTATTTTGTTGCACTTTGCTTGCACGTAATTAAACTTGTGTTCTTTTGTTCCTTTTTACTTCTTACAAGTTGCCCTTTTTCTTGCAGATTTGGGCTTTTGGTGGGCATAGGCGAGTGGAGTAGTTGGGGCAGAATGAACTTCTTTTGAGGTGCCTAGCATTGCAGGCCATGGTAGCATTGTTCTTTTCGGGATCTGTTTATGTTCAAGTAAATTACTCTTCTTCAAGAAACCAAAATCCTGCACTGTTGGTCCTTGTAAACTTTATTTGAAAAGCCCTTTTAGAGAAAGGTAACAGAGTATATTCTTCAAGAATTTGAATAGGAAAGGCCATTCAAATTGTCATGATTTAGGATGAGGGGTGCAAGTTGGGCGGCCCGGCCCAGCCCAGCCCGCCCCCAACCCAAACTCAACCTGAAGTCGGGTTGGGCTGGCCCGATTTCAACTCATAGTTGGGATCCCAAGTAATCCAAGCCCAACAATTTTGGGCTGGACGGGTTGACCCGTTCAATTTTTTTTTTTTGGAAAGACATTAATTTTTTTTTATTTTTAATTTTTTATTTTAATGTTTCCAACTTTAATTTTATTTTTATTAATGCAACCAAAATAAAATGTATCCTATTTTGTTTTAGATATAAAAATAAAAAACTTTTTTTTTTCTTTTTATTTGTTATTAAATAAACTTTAATTTTAAAATTTTTCCAAAAAAAATCATAAAGCAATCTTATACATATACAAGCAGCCGAAGATCAAACCAAAAAAATTTGAACATAAGGTAAGAGAGAAAAGCCCCACAACGATGGAATTAAATAAGTAGGGGTTGCAAAATGGGTCATGACCTACTAAGCAGTTCATATCTGTCTGTTTTAAAATGGATATGGGTGAATCATTTTAAAATATGGATGAAAATGGGTAATTTATATTTCACCCATTATATAAGAGATCTAGTTTCATAATCTCTATCGGACTCAAATTTACCTATTCGTTTATAAAATTTTCTTACACGATTCCAAATTCTCTCTCCCACTATCTAAAATTTTATTTACATCATGGACTCTTCTTATATGTAATACTAAGGATCGAAAGGAATTTATATTTACATATGTATTTCAAAGTAGGACGATATGATTTATTTATTTAATTATTTATTCTATAAAAAGCTTAACAGAAGATTTTATATAATATATATATATCTTAACTTCATGCATGTCTAGTCACAAAATAAAATAATATAAATTTAAATTTTTTTAAAAATAAATTAGAGAATTTATAATTATCCATACATATTTTGACAAGTTTTTATCAATCTAAAATAATAAAAAACTATATTAATGAGATTATCCAGAATAATAAATTTTTTTCCCCTAAAAGGGGTTGGTAGGTTGACCCGGCCCATTTTTATTCAACCCACATTTTGACCCGTTTATAAGTGGGTTGAATATGGGTCACAATCTATATTTGATCCACCCATATTAGACCATGTTCAAACTCGACCGACCGTTTGCTACCCTTATTTCTTTGTACATGAAACATGGAAATTATTTATGATTGTAATCAATCATGTATTTATAATTTTATAATAAAAATAACTATGGAGCTTAGGGTTTTGAGAGAACGATGCACGCTACCAAACGTTTGATCATATCGGTTAAGATTTGGAAGGTGTTAAAAAAAAAAAAAAAAAAAAAAGATTTAATTTTACTAACACTCCCTCAGGTTTAATTAAATATCACATTAAAACATATTTCGAAAATTATTATCACTTAGACTCCAAATTAGTATTTCGTTACTTTTACCGTTAAAAAAGTGCAAAATGACAATTTTACCCTTATTTTTAAAATTTTTTTTAATTCAAAATAACATCAAATTTAAAAGACAATATTGCCCCTCTGCCTTCTGTAGCGCACACATATCCTGGATTGCAACTAATACCGAAACATTTTGTCCAGGTAATCAAATTGTGAATACAAGATAACAACTTGGAAGCAATTGAAGTGGGTTCACACAGAGCTGAAACTACTAGTGAAGCGTGGACTTGTTTGAGAGTTGGGAGATCTTTGCATGAATGCAGCAATGAAGAAGAAGAAGAAGATATTGGTAGAGTAAGACGGTGATAGAGGGTTTTCAGGTGATGGGTGTGAAGTAGAAAAGGAGGCTTTGGGTTGAAAAATGGGGACTAACAGAGACCTAAGAGAGATAAAAGAAATGAAAACGAAAAGAGCCATCAAGAATTGAAACAACGTAAATGGTGAATGTGGGAGTTGTTGACACAGTAGAGGTTGAATTGAGAGAGCTTTCTCTACAAAATTGGTTCATTTCAAGTCTTGGACTTGGATTAGACCACTTGGCCCTGTTATTTTTTAAAAGTAAAATTAAAGAAAACTTCATAATAACTTCTTTTTTGTAAATTTTGTAATATGGGATGGGATGGGATAAATGACTAATAAATTTGACAATTTCCCCCCCCCCCCCCCCCCCCCCCCCCCCCACACACACACACACACACACACACACACATATGGGTAATAATTTGGGCTATGTATATATGAGGTTCTCTTCCTACCAATTGTTGGGCGGAAGTGTATAATTGAGAAGGTCACTGTTCTGTAGCTCGCCGGAACAATTTGGTTGGAATGAAACTCGCCGGAACAGTTTGGTGTAGCTTTTCACCGGACTGAAATTTTGGCTCACATTGAATCAGTTTGCCACTAGAATAATTTATCAATATTTTTTTAATAAAGTCATATCATCTATTTTGTAAATTTGTAAGGTGTAGAGTTTGAGTAATTCTGATCCTTTATAAATAAAAACGAAAAATACTTGAGTTGAGAGTGGTCTGGGCTTGCATTGATTTTGGAGTTCTTGATCTTGGTAGATCAATCCATGGCTATAAAGTCAATCTTATTATGAATGTTACAGTGAACAATGCTCTAATAGATATATATTCAAATGGGTATTTTGTTGAATTTATATAGAGAATCTAGAGAGAGAGGAGAGGAAGATGAGATTTTGTTGAATTTTTTGTAATGTTTTATATAGATATACATATATTTGAATGGTTATTTTGGTCACTTAACATGGGTCCCATGGGTACTTGAGTCATTTTATATAGAAGAATCTTTTTATAAGTCAAAACACATTGTCAAAGAAGTAACAATGTCTTTTTACATGTCAGAAGTGGTATGATACAATTGAAAAGTAATTTTTGGGGTGTAAGTGAAAAACGGACCAAACATTTATAACGTGAGTGATAGTAATTTTCGAAAGGTGTTTTAATGTCATATTTGGTCAAACCTGAGAGGCTGTCAATGAAATTTTACAATATATATATATATATATATATATACATATATATATTTCGGGTTTCGGTTAGGGATGTCAATTTTTACCGCCCCGCCGGGGCCCCGCCCCGTTCCGCCCCGTTAATAACGGATATGGGAACACTTATTATACCATTGGGGCGGACATGGATACAAATTTTGTACCCGTCGAGGGTCACGGGGTGGGTAAGGGTTCAATATACATATCCTAGGGGCCCCGCCCCGCCCCGCCCCGCCCCGCATATAACTATATATATATATATATATATATATATTAATAAGTTATTTTAGCGGCTTACCCAACCCATCTCTTACAATCCTAATTTGGGATGTAAACTTGGTATTAAATTTGCTTTTGTTTTGGTTATGGTGGAAGTTGGAGCTTAGAACTTCTTGTGATTTGGTTGTATTAAATTTTTATTTTTGTTTATTATGTTCTTTGAATTATGTTATGTGCATGTTATTTTTTTTTATTTTTGTTAGAATACATAATTTTATTTATGTTGTGTCATTTCTAGGCTTTGCACATTTAAATAGCAGGAGTTTAAGTTCCAAAAAGTGGGAGAAAAAAATTTGTTAGTGGGGCGGGCACGGGGGCACAGTATTTCCTAACGGGGCGGGGTTGGATATGAAAATTCAACCCGTCGCGGGTCTCGGGGCGGGCATGGACTTGACAAAAATTAAAAGGGGCGGGGCGGGATTTAGGGAAACCCGCTCCAAACCCGCCCCGTTGCCATCCCTAGTTTCGGTTGAACCTGAGACCAACCCAAACTCTGCTGGATTTTGAGAAAACCCAACCCGAATTAGGCTCAATTTGTGAATCTAAAAGCCCAAGTCCTAAAAGTTTTGGGCTGGGTTTGGGTTGGGCCAAGTTGCAGCCATATTTTGGAGATTGCATATTTTGACTACAACAACAAATTGCAGTTCGTTCCCGGTTTTTCTTAATTTTGACCCGTGCTCAAACAGAAGAGTGGTTGGATTCCATGGAGTCTCAGTAGACATTTCTTTCAATATAGATCCTATGCACATATTCGACCCTTAATTATACTGTGTGCATACTTATATAGACTCCAATACCAAATGTCCATAATGCTTTTTATCTATATAAATGTTAATACTAATGTTATATCATTCAACTCTTTAGCAATTTTAAATTTTTAAAAATTTCAACCAAATGCCCTGCAGTGTAGCATAATTATGCGAACTTCCTTTGTTAGTTTAAAATATACATGGATAAATTACACTGACCTCCCTTGAGGTTTGAACAAATTATATATAGGTAGATTGCTCAGTGTTATTACTTTGACATACTCTGAGTTTTGGGGTTAAAGATTTTGTAGTATAGTGGTGAGTATTCCTGCCTGTCACGCGGGTGACCCGGGTTCGATCCCCGGCAACGGCGCCAAAATCTGACGAGGTCGCTTGTAATACGCCAAACTGAATGTAGTGAACGTGTGGTTCAAGAAAAGCCTTTTATGTCAAATTTAAATTTATAAAAACCACTACCAACACCACTACTAACGTAGCAAGAGTGAGTAGGGATCGTCCCAAGGGATTATACGTGTTGGAATTTCAACTTCGACTCTAGCGTACCAAATGATTGCAAAAGAGAGTTGGGTTGGTTGATTAAGCTAAATTGAATTCAACTAAATAAAATAATATGAAGTAAACAAGAGAGAGAGAGAGGTCTTGGGGTGTAGAGATCACCACCAAGCAATACTATTCCAAACCATAATCAAGTAATTAATGAGGGAAATGAATGTGTTGCAACAATGTTGTGTGTATAAAAGACATTCAATTGGTAAGGGTGACTCAACAAGTGCAAATTGTCTCAATCAACATGTGTGAGGCCACAATACATCTATTGGTAGAGGAATATATTGTCTAGACATCATGTGAAGATAACAAAATAACAATTCAAGTCATTGAACCTTTCACTAAGCTCATAGTCCAAGCAATCCATAAGGATGACTTAGTTAAACATGTATTATCTAAACATCATGTGAGAGGTACAAAATATCTATT